CATCGGGCAAAACTCTCTGGCCTCAGTCCTCAGTGCCAGCTGTTCTCTTCGCCATGGGGCACCTTTCCTGTCCATCCCCAGTCTGGCCGAGGTTGCCCAGCCCTCTAAGCTCATGAGGAGACAGCCCCGGTCCCGAAACAGTTTCTCAGAAGCCACGTGTCCTGGGCCAGGCTCGCCACCTCCGTCAGGCACCTGCGGCACCACGGAGGCGTTTCCCAGCCTCCCTAATCTTATGTGAATGGATTTAGTCCAGCGATGATATCTGCTGACATCATCGGGAAGTTAAATGGCCTTTCAACCCGGGCTGGTTTATCTCAGGGCTGGGCTTGATGGCTCATGGTTTCAAAACAGGCACCTCAAGCCAGAAGATGGAAAGATCATTCACGTTCTGTATTCCCGTTAAAGTTCTGGGATCACAGGCCCGGCTTTCACTCTGAAACAGCGCATTCCACGGTCCAAACGTATTCCTCCGGCGGGTGTGTCCTCGTGGAGGCTGCGGAACCGCGGATGGGACGCGAGGGGAGAGTGTCCTCGCGCCTGCCGCCTCCACGGTGGGGTTCGGGGCCCCTGTGCGCGGACCCCGGGAGCACATTGAGGGCTGCAGCAACGTGAGTGGGTGAGGGACGTGTGTGGCTTCTCTCCGGCCGTGTTTAGAGGCCTTCTACCTTCAGAACTTGGGTTGGCAGAGTAGAGCTTTACCAAAAAAAAAAAAAAAAAGTCTCATTTGCAATAGTTTAGTTATGAAAGTAGCATGATTTTTTTTCTATTTTAATTCTGTGAGTCAAAGCAGTTTGGTTCTTGTAGAAAAGGAGACACAAGAAATGAGGCATGGGGCCTGCCGGGCGTGGCTCAGCGGTTGAGCATCAACCTAGGATCCAGGAGATCGCGGTTCGATTCCCGGTCGGGGCACATGCCCGGGTTACCGGCTCCATCCCCAGTCGGGGGGCGTGCAGGAGGCAGCTGATCAATGACAACTCTCTTCATTGATGTTTCTACCTCTCTCTCTCTCCCTCTCCCTCCCTCTTTCTGAAATCAATAAAGGTATATTTTAAAAAAAAAAAAGAAATAAAGCACAGGGCCCATGCTGGGTCAGTTCTTGGACCTGCTGGTACTCATAGACTGAACTGTCCCACACCCTTCCTGTCTCAGAATCAGCATCTCCCCGCTCCCCCTCACCCCCAGTAAAAAAATACTTCCCC